AATGTAGCTTCATATTATTTTGCATTGCTGTTAGATGTATTGTTGGGATTTGCAGTCCTCTATAGCTGATGCTATTATTCTGCGCTGCTCAATAATGTATTGCTGGGATATATATAGTCTTCTATAGTTGGTGGTATTCTGTATTGCTATGTGTAGTGTTCTTGTAGGGTCCCATAAATGTACTCCGCATGTGGCTATGTTGTCTTGTCTGACAGTCTACAGTCTTGAGTTATACTGGAACTTAAAGATTGAAGGTGAACCTCTTTCCCATTGTGAACCACCAACAACTTTAGTCCTACCTTCCTGTTTGGTCCTTGACCGGACTTTACCCGCTACCTATTCTGCATTGCTGTACTACTGGGATGTATAGTCTTCTATAGTTGGTGGTATTCTGTATTGCTGTATATTGTATTGTTGGTATTTGTAGTCCTCTATAGATGGTAATATTCTGCATTGCTGTACTACTGGGATGTATAGTCTTCTATAGTTGGTGGTATTCTGCATTGCTGTATATTGTATTGCTGGGATTTGTAGTCCTCTATGGTTTGTGGTATTCTGCATTGCTGTGTAATGTATTGCTGAGATTAGTTCCTTTACAAGTTGCAGCTACTGGAACTTAAAGATTGAAGGTGAACCTCTTTCCCATTGTGAACCACCAACAACTTTAGTCCTACCTTCCTGTTTGGTCCTTGACCGGACTTTACCCGCTACCTCACAGTGGCCAGCAATTGCATGATGCTCTAGGGCAGTGGTGGCGAACCTAGGGCACGCGGGGCCCCCTCTGCTGGCACGGGAGTCCAGGTTCAGGAACCCCAAATGGAAATGGATCCGACTGACCCGGATCGCCTCGGTATGCGATCCGGGCTGGTCGCAATCAGGCAGCATAAACCTCTTGTATTGTATTTTTCTTCTAAGATTTAAGCACATAATTAGTTCAGATAGTCGTATAAAGTGTTTTCTGAAAGAAATCATCCGTATTCAGGTCTAATTGCAGGGTTGGCACTTTGAGACACATATGTTGGTTTAGTGATCCAGTTTGGGCACTCTGGCTCAAAAAGGTTTGCCATCACTGCTCTAGGGCAACCTTGCTCTTAAAAGCCAGCTTACACTTACTGCACTTAGCTCCGAAGCACCGTACGTCTCACTCACTAGTTTGGATGTGATACTGCCACTGTGATTTCCCTTTTCCATGGTGTATTTGTTTGTCTATATACTGCCTCCAGACCCGTTTTTTGTACTCTTACAAAACTCAGGATTCTTTTTCTATTTGCGGGCTGGCTAGGCCAAATCTAGGTCTACTATTTGAAGGAGATGTATAATAGATAACATATGTCTGTTGTGAACCTATGCGTTTTGTGTGATTATCTGTATTATGAAAACTCTAAAATAAAGAATAAAAAAAAAAAAAAAGAGCCCAAAGACCATACGATTATTGCTTGAAAAACGAATGCGATTGGGTTTTCATACGATAATCTGCCAGTTGATGGGAAGTCAATGATCACAATTACTGTACAACTGGCTGAATTCCGTCAATCGGGTAGGCTGGAAAACTTTTATCGAACGGAACGAAAAATCGATGGATTAGTGGCGTTTCTATACGGAAAAAAAAAAAATCACAACAAGAACACTGCACATGCGCAAACGAAAATCCGTTCCGTCAATCGACTAAATTCATATTAAAGTCTTGCTAACTAGCGATAATTGAAAGCAACATTGGTCTGTGCATGACGGGCTATCTGAGTTTAAAATCGAAAGAGGGTTCTTGGCAGCAACGAAGATTTCCGATTAAAAATGTAAGGTGTATGGACAGCTTAAATTGGTCCTCATACGTATGCTTGTAAAATAGGGACTTTAGGTTATAAGCTCCTTGAGGGCAGGTACTGATGTGAATGTACACCATGTAAAATGCTGCGTAAATTGTTAGCGCCATATAAATATCTGTAAAAAATAGTGTGCGCCTGTGACACTGAAAAGAAACTACAGTACCCAAAATTGTCCATAGGTGGGGCTTTAAAAGCCTTTACAGCTCATGAGTTTAGGCCCCATTCACATTCATTTTTCAATGGAGGTCAACGCAAGGCAACCCCAAAATGAATGGGTGTGAATGGGACCAGATCATACCACTTCGTTCCATTGCAGTGCACTGAAGCATTGAAGTAGAGCATTTTTTCAGCGCAACATAACAGAATAAGTCAAAAACTGGGAAAAAATGCAAAACAACGGGAACGGGAAAAAAAAAAAATACAGACGTTTGTCCAATCAGGACAGGTAATTAAAACAAAGGTTTGCAAGAAAAAAAAAAAATGGCCATGCAACTGAAAGAAAGTTGAAATCGCAAGAAAACGGACCTCGATTGATTTACATTTTAGGTCCAATTTTGGTGTGAACGAGGGCTTTTTTTTAAAACAATGCTTTTTATTATTTTATCAAGTTAGCAAAACGTTACAAACATTTCCCACACAGAGGGAAAAACCCGGGTAACATACCCAGTGACATAAAAAAAAAAAACCACAACAAAAGAAACCAAAGAAAAAAAGAACAGTCTTAATTAGTTCACAGTCTCAGTACACAGATGCATTACAATCTCAATACATGCATAGTAAATGCAGGGCATCACATCATTATACAATGAATATGGGGCGCCATTAGAGGAACCTGGACCTCCTGGTCCTATACTAGGGCACGAAGTACCATTATGCAGGATCCGTTGTTGTAGCAGTAGAGGAGAGCCATGGTCTCCAGATATGTTCAAAACGGTCTGGGCTACCCCTCTGCGCATAGGTAAGCTTATACAGCGGTAGTGACTGATTGACCAGTTTTTTCCAGCAACCCAGGGAGGGGGGCGCGGGCCCGGCACATACCAAAAGGATGGCCTTCTTAGCGTAGAACAAAAGTATCCGGATGAGGGTCTGGGCACTAGCATCCAACATCAGTTTACCGAAAAGACCCAATAAACAGAAAGTGGGATTGCATATATTGGGGAAACCCAAGCCAGTCTCCATAAAAGCGGTGATCTCTGACCAGTACGAACGGATATGTGGACAAGACCAAAAGGAGTGGAAAAAAATCTGCCCTTTGACCGCAGCGCTTAAAGCACCGCGGGGTGGGGCGGAGACCTAATGTATGTAGAAGGGATGGAGTATAATAGACCTGATAAAAAAAGTTTCACTTGTAAAATGCTATCTCTAGAAGCGATTACAGAAGACATGTATGTGTTTTAAAAATCACTCCAATCGTCCCCATCTAGGTCTGGGAGAAGGGCCTGCCATTTTGCTTTGCGTTTTTTAAACCTGGACGACCTAGTTGCCATAAGTTCGGCATAATAAGTCGATGCCAGTTTAATGGAAGTATCTCTACGTAGCATCACTTCCAGTGGAGACTGCATTGGGAGAAACGAAGTCGACCCAAATTGGGCGCGAACTGCATGTGATAATTCAAGGTATGCTAAGAGAGCAGCAGGAGGGAGCTGTAGCTCTTCCCTGAGTTGTGGAAAGGTAAGCATCTCTCCGTTCCTAAATATATGAGAGGGATTTAACGCCCTTCGAGGAACAGAAGGCAGCCGATGGGAGGCGCTGCAGTTCCGGGAAGGAAGGATGCCCCATAGAGGCGAGTGTGGAGAGTGGGACCAAGCTTCCACAGACAGCCATCTAATGATATATTTCAGGATACGAAGAGTCACGTAAATACGGGAACCAGACTCCTCTGTAGATGACATTTTGGAGGTATTCAAAAGAGGTGAGTATGGTCGCCTCCGTTGCCGTGCAGGTGTTGCCCACCTGGGGGAGAAGCCAATCATGGATCACAACCAACTGGGTGGCCAAATAGTACACATGAAAATTAGGGAAGGCCAAACCTGCCTGGGAACGCGGAAGCTGCAACACCTCCAGGGCCACACGAGGAGTACAGCCCTGCCACAAAAATGTTGTACAGAGGTAGTCTATTTACGTAAATATTTCAGTGGGATGCAACATGGAGAAGACGTCATAACATATAACAGTTTAGGTAAAAAGATCATCTTAATAATATTGACTCTTCCTAGAAGGTCTAAGGGTAAGTCCTTCCATTGGTTCAGTTTCAGTTGAAGGGACTCAATCACTGGCATTAAATTATTTTTAAGATATGAGGAGAGCGGGAGCTGTATCTTAACACCCAAATAGTTAAATTAGTGAACCACTGCTAGGGAAGATGTGGGATGGACATGCCTCAACGTGTTATCATCCAAGGGGCACACAGACTTGCTCCAATTAACTTTAAAGCCTGAGTAGCTCCCAAATATTTCTAACAATTGAAGCAAGTGAGCCAAGGAGTCATTGGGATCAGACAAGTAAATCAGAGTGTCATCCTCATATAGTGAAACCCGTTCCTCCAGGCCACGTACCTTCAGGCCACATATTGACTCAGAATCCCTTATCATGGCCGCCAATGGCTCAATGGCTAAAGCAAAGAGGATGGGTGAAAGAGGACAACCCTGTCTAGTCCCCCTAGATATTTTAAAGGGAGAGGGAATATCCTTATTGACCCTTAACCTAGCAAGTGGGGAGTTGTAGAGAATCCTAACCCAATGTATTATACGAGGACCAAACCCAAAGAGGTGTAGCGTCTTCAACAAATAAGGCCATTCTACACTGTCAAATGCCTTATGCGTATCCAGAGATATCAAGGCCCTACCCTCCACTGTGTGATGGAAGGATTGTAAATAATCTACGAATATTCATTCTGGCTGAGCGTCCCGGCATAAAACCCGCCTGATCACTGTTGATCAAAGACAAGATATGCCTATTAATACGCATTGCCAGTATTTTTTATAGAATCTTGGCATCAACATTGATCAGGGAGATAGGCCGATACGAGTCACATTTAGTGGGGTCCTTACCGGGCTTCAAAATCAGAATTATAAGAGCCTCACGCATTTACGGGGGGAGAATGCCCTCTTCAAGAAAAAACCTCCAGAAGGTGCGGACCCAACTCCGGTCTATAAACAAGAGTACCACTCTATCGGAAGCCCATCAAGGCACGGGGTTTTCTTGGTAGGGAATTGGGAAAGCGCTGTTTCTATGTCCTCAATAGTGAGGGGGGAGTCTAGCTAAGGGGCATTGAAGTAGGGTTATATTCAGGTCTCATAAAATATGCAAGAAGTCTACCCGCCTTGATGCCAAATTCAAATACTTTCTGCTGGTTACACGTTCTTTTTTTGTACCCTCCAAGAGGATCAAGTCATTCCCCCGTTTTTTTGTCCATCCAGGCCCTATAGGCTTCAGTGGAGGGGTCCAGAAACATAGGCAGCTTCTGCGCCACACACAGCCTGCTCAAGGGATTCTGCTTTAAGTCTGAGGGCAGCACCCGCAGCGGCCATAAAAGACCCCCTGAGTGTAGGTTTAAAGGCTTCCCATTTAAGGGAAGAAGAAGGCACAGAGGCGTTATCTTCCCAGTAATGGCCTATAGTCTGTGTGCAGGCATCTGCTACCAATGTCTCAGACAACCAGGCTGAATTCATCCTCCATACTCGCATGGAAAAGGAATTGCCCCAGCAGAGTTCAAGTGACAAGGGAGCATGATCTGAAATACCTCTTGGAAGGTAGCCTATAGCATGTTACTAAGGAAGTACAGTAGGAGTACCAAACGCCAAGTCTATTCTAGAGAGAGTCCTGTGTGTAGCAGAATGATATGAGTGGACACTGGAATCCGGATACTTCCATTGCCAGAGATCAATAAGCCCAAAGCTATTAATTCAAGTAGAGAAACCAGGATATGGGCGACCCGTGCCTCCCATTCTATCCTCCGCCAGGTTAGGGACAGAGTTATACCCTAATCAGAACAAAGCCAACTCGGCAGGGGCGCAACCAGTCTGATCAGGACCCGTACTAAATAACCCAGGTCCTCACCAGAAGGGTGCAAAATAGTCGCTCACTCCCTGTGAGGAGAAATAAAAGGACAACCAAATGGAGGGACAGAGTTCGTCCACATAAAACTGTGAGAAATCCAGTAAGCCATATACATTAGTAACAAAAGCAGGACATGCAATTAAGGCAATCTGCAGGGCGCACAGTGCAGAACCTGGTAAGTTATACTCACTGTTCAGCGATCATCATTGCGGCAGCGTCTGCGTTGAGGGATACCTTTACCATCCAGCCAGTTGGACACTTCAATAGGAGTAGAGAAAAAGTGATTTGTACCACCAGACGCCACTCGCAGTTTAGCAGGATACATCATGGCGTAGGAAACACCTTCCTGACGGAGGCGTTTTTTAATTCCCAGGAATGATGACCTCTGGCGCTGCACTTCCGCAGAAAAATCAGGAAAGATGAAAACCCGGCCGCCATTGTAGAAAAGTTCCCCAGCAGCACGAGAGGCCCGAAGCACTGCGACCTTAAGGCTGGGTTCACACCTGGGCGTATTGAATATGCGTGTTTTTACCGCGATTCGCGGTAAAAAAAACACGCGACAAATGCCTGTTTCGAGGGCTACTTGGCTGTATCCCAATGGAAACGCGAGACCAAAACGCCCCAAAGAAGTACATGTACTTCTTTGGGCGTAGGCCGTTTTGTATCGCGTTCGGACGGGCGGAAATACGGCAAGGTGTGAACCAGACCCATTGAATACAATGGGATTTAGATGTTAGAGCGTTTTGAAGAGCGTTCGTCGAACGCGCTACAAAACGTTCAGGTGTGAACCAGGCCTTACTCTAAAGCTGAGAAGCTTAGCAATCAGTGGTCTGGGCGATGATCCAGGAGGGGGTGCAGAAGGAGGAGTGCGGTGCGCTCTCTCAATAGCAAACGCAGCAGACGGAGCAAAATCAGGAAAAACTTCACGGAGCCAATATTGCAGGAACAATTCAGGAGTAGAACCTTCCGATTTTTCAGGGAATCCCACAAAATGGAGGTTATTGCGTCTAGAGCGATTCTCCAGATCATCCAACTTAGCTTTGCAAGCTGTAAGCTCCTTTTGCAGCACAGAGGTATCTCTAGTAAGTGGAGAGACAGTGTTCTCTAAGACGGGAATTCTGACCTCTGTTTCGGTAACCCTTACCCGCAGGCCCTGTGCTTTAGAAATGAGAGATCAACATGTACCCCTTCAATTTGTGAAGCAATGGTCGTTTTACAGCCTTGGATTGCCTCCATTAGTTGTAAAAGAGTAGGCTCGGCAGTGTCGGTCGCAGCTGCGGGCGGGACCCCATCCCCATGGCGGGATTGTCTGAAGGAGAGGGAGCAGAGCAGGCCCGGGGGTGTTTGGGGGGGTGTGCGAGCCATGCACCACAGTTCCCTGATGTGGAGCCATCCCTGACCCCTTCTGTGTTCCCTGCTTACTTGATTCAGTGCGACTAGGGACCGGAGGCTTCGACCGCCATCTTGGAACCTCTGGAATCTTGCCAGCCTCTCCGTCTGGGATGGATCGGAGGCGCTGGGAGGCAAAAACGGCTGGGAGTGAGCGATCAGGATGGCTGTAGGAGAATCGTGGGACCGGAGCAGCGGAATTAGCGTCCGTCCATGTCGGCAGTCAGGCCAGGCCCCCCCGTGAACGAGCGATATTAATGAACACTAGATGACAGCCCCGGAATTACTGCTGTCACTCCAGAATGCAGAATATGTATGGTGCAATTGTAGCTTTGTACTTGTGTTTGTCTATGGGTGCACGTGAGGCCTTTATTTATTTATATATATATAACAACAGAAATGTTTTAAATTTGTTTTTACTAAAAAAAATAAAAAAATGTTTTAACTTATTTATTCCTTAAGTTTATTGCTATTGAAAGGAGGCTGATATTAAACAGCACAGTGCAGGTGACAGGTTCTCTTTAGTGAGACATCAAGGCACTAATCTCTTCTGCTAGGAAACCGGCACCAATACTGTAAAGAATCTAACTGGGAGATTGCTCACATGCAGGTGTTGCCACGGGCAAAGTACTACAGAGAAAGGGCCGATATATCATTGATGTAGTTGACCGATAAGTGCAGAAAAAAAAAAAACTTGTCTCGTCAGTCCACAACATGGCTGTAGAAATGAGCACATTTCTGGCTGACTATTTTTTTGTAGTTACAGTTTCTTCAATGGGATAAAATGCTGGGGAATGTGTATGTATAGAAGAGATGTACTGTATGTTTGTTTTTTTGCCTTGCCCTTGACATACTTTGAAGGCCTGATGAATAGGCAACAAAATGCTAGGCCTCTACCTGTGAACTCTTTGCCAGCTCTGATGCAATCCTACCAAAGAGCCATTAATCCTGCCACTCCCTGACTTGTGATGACAGGACTCTTGGCAGTGTTCTTACAACTGATAATCACACACTAGAGATCGTGCCTCTGTGTCTTAATGACGCCGGATGCATTTCAGCTGTTTAACATTTGGTTGCTGGAATTATTTCAAACATTCCTTCCTGAGACTTTAAAGTCTTTTTCCTGTTGTGCACAGCGGCATCCTGCTAAAATCTTCATACAAAACACCTTCTAAGAGGCACAGTCTTATTCTAGATGAGCCATTTAACATTCACTTCTGTATTACATGTACAGCCTATAGGAGAAAGTAATATCTGGTGCAGTTTCCAAGTAAGCATGCTACATCCCCAATTGTGACGTAAAGCTAACTGCATTACACCCCCACTTACTGGCCTCCCACTCTCCTCTCTAAAGACTCCCCATCCCTATTGTTTTTTTAAACGCCTATATACATACCTTGAGTCCTGCAGTCTTCTGCCCAATTCTGTGACATGTGGTGCTTACATAACATGGAAGCACCTGCCTGTCCAGGGGTAATGTGATGACTTACCTTCAGGGGTGCTTGTCCATGACAGCCTAAGCTCACAAGAACATGGTCAGAATTCAATCTGGAAGAGGACTATTGCCGCATTTACGGACTGGCGAGTCTGTGGGGGGCAGTGCTGGTAAGGTGGTGAGTATAGCAGTGAAAGAAAGCCTTTATATTTTTTAGGGATGCAGTACTCACACATGAAAATGCCTCGATACTAAGCGCAGATACCGGCACTTTAAATTTTCTTAATGGATTTGGCTGCAGTAAGGTCCAGGGCTTGCTGGGGACCTTACGGCAGCGGATTACACCGCCGGTCCGGCCGCAGATCTCCCTCTGGCACAGGCCTGGTTAAACCCCGCACAGCTGCATATTTTATTGCTCCTTATCAAGGCAATCGTGTGAACAGGCCCTTAAAGCAACTCGGTCACCACAGAGCCACCCTGTAAAAGAACCTACTGAATACAAGTCTTTCCATTGGGCAGTTCCAGGAATCAATGCTATCTGACACTTCCTCCTGATGGGAAGGTAAGCATTAGGGATACACCGATACCCTGCACCAAACCCTGGTGAGATCCCGCATCTGCCCTGGTGAGATCCTGTACGCAGCCCTGGTGAACAACAGAGTATGTAGCTTCATATTATTCTGCACTGCTATATAATGTATTGCTGTATAATGCTATATAATGTATGGCTGGAATTTGTAGTCCTCTATAGCTGGTGATACTCTGCATTGCTGTATAGTGTATGCCAGGGATTTGTAGTCCTCTACAGCTGGTGGTATTCTGCACAGCTGTATAATGTATTGCTGGGATTTGTAGTCTCTCTACAGCCTGGAGCCAGTGACAGAACTACCAGAGGCTTAGCGGTTGCAGCTCTGTTTTCACCTCCTTCATTGCCATGGCATATTGCATAAGTCACTGGCCATCTTAAACAGAGAAAAATCATGACATATAGAATATGTCCTTGGCAGTCAAAGAAGAGCTAGGGCCTATAAAGAAATTATGAAGGACAAAAGAAAAAAACACCTTTAAAGCAAACATCAAATGCCACTGAAATGTTTGTACTCCAGGCTCCTAACCAATAGAAAACAGAATCCACTTGGTCAACAGAACACAGCGCCCTGAAACTCTCATATATATGCAAATAGTGACTCAGATCTCCTCCCTGTCTATGGCCTTCCCCACACCTCCTGGAAGTCAATACTGGCCTGTGTGCCTGCTCATCACAAGTGCAGACCAATAGTGAAGTCCAGGAAAGTTTAATGTCACTGGACCAAAACACGACTTTGGGATCTGAAACTGCTATTGGCATAATAGAGTGGCCACGTTTTCGAGCTGCTGAGGCTGCAAGCGGTGTATAAGCAAGCAGGTCTAGCTAAGATAATCCAGTGTCACCAATAGGTTCTGCACCAGAGTGTGGATGGCCAGGGTGAGTCTGAAGAAGTTACGCAGTGGCCCACTGAAATTCAATGATTTCTCCATCTGCTGACTGGATTGGACAAATGATCATTTTACAGCTACAGATTGCCTATAAGACAGTAATGACTAACCACTGTTCTCCCATATTCTGCTGCCTAGACT